TCACCCCCCCACCAGGAGACCAACTGCTATGTCACCGCTGGTATTGATGAAGATCTCTCCTCCGCCGCTTTCTGATGACATCAGATCTCTGCCATGTTGGTATCCTATGCGAATGGCAGCATTTCGTTCCCCTTGCCAGGCAACCAAAGCAACGGGTGAGTCCTGACCGGCCCTCAGCAGGACCCGGACCGAGACGCAGTTTCCGCGGGCTCCTAGCCCCGGTCCAGGGAAGTTCCGGGAGCCGGAACTCGGCCGCTCCGTGCTCGGTGTAAGCTCCTATAAGTGTAAGCTCCAAGAAGCAGTCCCCGTGGGCTCAGTTCCGGGAGCCGGAATTCGGCGGCTTAGTGCTTGGTGTATGCTCTGATAGTAGCAGGGTCCAAGAAGCAGCCTCCGCAGGCTCCGCAGCCCTGAGCCAGGGCGGTTCCGGGACGGTTCCGGGAGCCGGAACTCGGCCGCCCCGCGCTCGGTGTTTGCTTCGATAAGATCAGATTCTAAGCAGCACCCAGGCGCTGAACCCTAGCAATCTGTCTGCAAGCCGCAGGCGAATTGCAGCCTGAAATTACCTGTTCTATGGCTGAATGAGCTGCGGTCAGTCGAAAACAGGGAAGGTGACGTCAGTTTACCAACATGGTGGCTGCTGGCCTCCTCTGTGGTCTGACCGGTGTGGAGAACCGAGATGGACCGCTTCCTTCCCCCGTCTCGAACCCAGAATTCAGCCCTGAGTACGGTGCTTGCGCGGCTGGGAGAAACTGCAGCGCTGTAACCCTGCGTCTCTATCCCAGCGCGCGCTGCAGACTCTAGCCGCGGGGCGATTTGCTGAATAAGCAGTTACCCTCCGTGCGACAAACCTCTCGCGTTTGAGTCCCCGTAGCCGATCCTCGTGCGATGGAAATCCTTCCTCCAGGTTCCGGAGCACCCCACTATTGCTGGAAATTCCTAACAAGATATCCTTTAGCCGTCCTGACTTGTCATACTCCCACACAGTGAAGCAGCACACGGGGGTAATGCACTCCCCTCGCCACCATCTTCCTTCTCCTGTTTCTTTTGTTTTGATTTCATTAATTTCAGCTCTGATTTTAATTATTTCTTGCCTTCTACTTCTTTTGCTGTTGTTTTGCTCTTCTTTTTCTAGGATTTTGAGATGAAGTATGAGATCATTTATTTGTTGGTTTTTTCTTTTTTTAAGGAATGAACTCCAAGCAATGAATTTTCCTCTTAGAACTGCTTTCAATGTGTCCCATAGATTCCGATATGTTGTGTCTGTGTTTTCATTTATCTCTAAGAATTTTTTAATTTCCTCCTTGATGTCTTCTATAACCCATTGATCATTCAGTAACCTATTGTTCATTCTCCAAGTGATGCATGATTTTTCCTTCCTTCTTTTATCGTTGATTTTCAGTTTCATTCCATTATGATCAGATAAGATGCATGGTATTATCTCTACTCCTTTATATTGTCTAAGAGTTGCCCTGTGACATAATATATGATCTATTTTTGAGAAGGATCCATGTGCTGCTGAGAAAAAAGTGTAACTGCTTGATGTTGGGTGGTATATTCTATATATGTCAATTTAAGTCTAGGTTATTAATTGTGTTATTGAGTTCTATAGTTTCCTTATTCAACTTTTGTTTGGAAGATCTGTCCAGTGGCGAGAGAGGTGTGTTGAAGTCTCCCATGATTATTGTATGGGGGTCTATTAGACTCTTGAACTTGAAAAGAGTTTGTTTGATGAACATAGCTGCACCATTGTTTGGGGCATAAATATTTATGATTGTTATGTCTTGTTGGTGTATGGTTCCCTTGAGCAGTATGTAGTGTCCCTCTTTATCCCTTTTAATTAACTTTGGCTTGAAATCTATTTTATTTGATATGAGTATGGACACTCCTGCTTGTTTCCGAAGTCCATATGAGTGATATGATTTTTCCCAACCTTTCACCTTCAGCCTATGTATGTCTTTTCCTATCAAATGCGTCTCCTGTAGGCAGCATATTGTTGGGTCTTGTTTTGTGATCCATTCTACTAGCATGTGTCTCTTAATTGGTGAGTTTAAGCCATTAACATTTAGGGTCATTATTGAGATATGGGTTGTTTTTCCAGCCATATTTGTTTATTTATGTCACTAAACATGGTTTGTTTTCCTCTTTGATTATTTCCCCCCCGCTCTTTACTGTCCTACCTCCCACTGTTGGTTTTCATTGTTATTTTCCATTTCCTCTTCCTGTAATGTTTTGCCGAGGATGTTTTGAAGAGATGGTTTTCTAGCTGCAAATTCTTTAAACTTTTGGTTATCATGGAAGGTTTTAATTTCATCCTCCATCCTGAAGCTTAATTTTGCTGGATACACAATTCTTGGTTGGAACCCATTTTCTTTCAGTGTTTGAAATATGTTATTCCATGATTTTCTAGCTTTCAGAGTTTGTGTTGAAAGATCAGCTGTTATCCTGATTGGTTTACCCCTGAATGTAATCTGTTTCCTTTCTCTTGTAGCTTTTAAAATTCTCTCCTTATTCTGTATGTTGGGCATCTTCATTATAATGTGTCTAGGTGTGGATCTCATGATTTTGCACATTCGACGTCCTGTAGGCTTCTAGGATTTGGGATTCTGTCTCATTCTTCAAGTCTGGGAAGTTTTCTTGTATTATTTCATTGAATAGATTGCTCATTCCTTTGGTTTGGACCTCTATACCTTCCTGTATCCCAATGACTCTTAAGTTTGGTCTCTTTATGTTATCCCATATTTCTTGGATGTTCTGCTCATGGTTTCTTAACAGTCTTGCTGAGCTGTCTATGTTCTTTTCAAGTTGAAATACTTTGTCTTCATTGTCTGATGTTCTATCTTCTAAGTGTTCTACTCTGCTGGTAGTATTCTCCATTGAGTTTTTAAGTTGGTTTATTGCTTCCTGCATTTCTAGGATTTCTGTTTGTTTGTTTTTTATAACCTCTATCTCCCTGTATAGTTGATCTTTTGCTTCCTGGATTTGTTTGTGTAATTCATTGTCGAAGTGATCTTTCATTGTCTGATTTTGCTGTCTAATGTCTTCCTTGAGACTCCGGATCATCTGAAGCATGTATATCCTGAATTCTTTATCTGACATTCCATCTGCTGCAGCTGTTACCTCTTCTAAAGTTGAGTTGACCTGCATTGCTTGTGGTCCTTTCTTTCCTTGTCTTTTCATACTGCTTGAGTTTCTTTCTGCTTGGTGAAACTGTTGTGTTTTTGAAAAATTTTCCCCCCTATATATTTACATTGCTCTTGTATAGTTGAAAAGTCTCCCTTGCAGGCGCAGGCGGCGGTCTGCCTACTTTGCAGGCGCAGGTGGCGGCTCTGCTCTGCCCCTCCTCCAATTGGGGTGATGTGACTACCGCACCGGCGGGCCGCTGGGCCTGTTCTGCCGGTCGGTTGCAGGTCTGCCTACCTTGCAGGCGCGGGCGGTGGCTCTGCTCTGCCTCTCCTCCAATTGGTGTGACTTGTCTACCACACCGCTGGGCCTGTTCCGGGCACGGGAGAAGGCTCTGCTCTGCTCCTACTCCAATTGGGCTGACGTGCCTACCACCCCGGCCGGCCGCTGGGCCTGTTCCACCGGTCAGTCGCAGGTCTGCGTACCTTGTGGTCATGGGCGGCGGCTCTGCTCTGCCCCTGCTCCAAATGGGGTGACGTGTCTGTCACGCCGGCAGGCCCCTGGGCCTGTTCCGCTGGTCGGTCACAGGTCTGCCTACCTTTCGGGCGCGGGTGGCGGCTCTGCTCTGCCCCTACTCCAATTGGGGTTACGTGACTACCACACCAGCGGGCCGCTGGGCCTGATCCGGGCGCGGGTGAAGGCTCTGCTCTGCCCCTACTCCAGTTGGGGTGACGTGTGTACCACGCTGGCAGGCCGCTGGGCCTGATCCGCCGGTCTGTCGCAGTTCTGCCTACCTTGCAGGCGCGGGCAGCGGGTATCGATGAAGTTCTCTCCTCCGCTGCTTTCTGATGACATCAGATCTCTGCCATGTTGGTATCCCATGCGAATGGCAGCATTTCGTTCCCTTTGCCGGGTGACCAAAGCAACGGGTGAGTCCTGACCGGCCCTCACAAGCCCCGTCTCAGTCCTGTTGCTACTGCCTATGAAGGCTCGGTTGGTATTTACCTCCACAGTATGCAGCAGGACCCGGACCAAGAAGCAGTTTCCATGGATTCTTTATCCCTGGGCCAGAGCAGTTCCGGGAGCTGGAATTCGGCCGCTCCGTGCTCGGTGTATGTTCTGATAGGAGCAGGCTCCAAGAAGCAGTTTCCACGGGTTAATTAGCACTGAGCCTGAGTAATTTGTCTGTGAGCTGCAGGCGAATGGCAGCCTGAAATTACCTGTTCTATGGCTGAATGAGCTGCGATCAGTCGAAAACAGGGATGGTGATGTCAGCTCTCCAAGATGGTGGCCGCTGGCTTCTACTGTAAGTTTCTTGAGGCCTGGAACTGAATCATTACTTCCTCTGTGGTACAGTGCCTGATACATATGTAGGCACCCAATACATATTCAAATAAATGAGTAACTGAATGAATGAGAAAAATATGATATAACATGGCACAAATATAGCTAGTACAAATTAGAACAAATTCAACACCCAGGATACTTCTTCAAATAGGAGCAACCAGGAGAACGCTCAGGTGTAGTCACAGTTACTAGAAGTTCATTCATTGGGAGATCAAAGTTAAGGGCAAGAAATATAGTCTAGAAGGAAAAGTTTCATGGATACATGATGCAGACAGGAAAAAGCATATAATTTCTTCTCAGAGAAAGTTTTATTCTATTGGTAAAAGATGGAAGAATTTGGATATGGAGAAGAAAACCAGGTAATAGAACAGAATTATACAAATAAATGCATTAAAAAGTAGAGATTTATAAGATAGTTTTAAAACGGATCCAAACTAGATTTTAAAAGTGATAGATTTTATATATATTTCAAAACATACTTTTCTATTACCATTTCATGTAAATATTTTAAAATTAATTTTTCTTTATACTACCTTTATATGTATAATTTGGTTGTCCACTGCTGTGAGGTGATTAAGATTCTCCAGTATTTCTAAGTCTCTTATGTCATCAATATTATTGTTGCTGATATTCAGTATGGAGAGGGATTTCTATAAGAAAAATAACTAAATTAGCATTAGTAAATAGTTTAAATACTACACATAGGAACGAGAAATCCTAATTCTTAAGAAGTTTTTAAAGATTTATCAGGTTGTTTTGCTTTTTATGCAAGAAAATAAAAATCATGGAGATTTTGTTTTAATGCTGTATTTTTTTCAGATGGAACTTTCAGAACTTAGTATGTGATGTAAATTTGGGTTCTGCCTGTAGTTTCTCCATAAGTCTTATTTTCCTCTTCCATAAAATAAGATTAATATACAGAATAAAGAAGTCAAGAATAAAAAAAGAAAAATATGCCCTCCAAACACAATGTTAAAAATATAAAAATACTTATTGCAATTTAAACAAATTATATTTTGTGCTAAATACCACTAAGATTTGTGCTTTACATAGGAAGAGATAATTTTTATCTTTGTTTTTCTGAAGAGGAAGCATAACCAAGCATGAACAAATTATCTGGCTTTTATATTTGTATTTGCCTTTCTATAGTGGTTTCTCTTTCCTGTCCATATATTCAAAAGCCACTTGAAATAGTAATAACCTAATTAGTAAGAATCATGATATTAGGTATTAATGAGGATATAAATATACAATATGGCAACACTAAATTAAAGTCATATTAATTCTGAGGCACAGAAATCTCTACCAAGATTGAGTCCACCACTAAGGATCTACACATACCAACTTTTAGAAAATATATTTCCTGATAAATTTAAAGACCTGAAATAAAACTGAAAAAAATTATGCCTCATATTTAGAATTTCAGATCTGCTTGAATTTATGTAAAAATTGAGCTAGCAAAAATGTTCAGTGGTATTTTCCAGTAAAAGTAGCCATCCCCACAGTGTGGTCAGTCTAATTGGATCAGATGAGGTTGAGCGGTGGTTGTTGACAGCTGATTATGAGGAGATGGGATAGAAACTAGTTAATTTTTCTGCATTGTTTAAAAGCTGCCAAATAATTGTACATTCCTTTTTCCTTAGGCTTTTCCCTAAAATTTTAAATTTTAAGCCACAGGAATCACCAAGGCCCAAATTATGAATGAATTAACATCTGTATTAGAACTTAAATAACCTTACATAACCTTTTCATATCCTAAACTTACATAACCTTTTCATATCCATTTACTCTAAGAGTTGGGCACTACTATGTATAGTATTATGATTCTGAGACATTATGTGGGAAAATCAGCTTCAGTCCTCAAGCAGACAACCAGTCACACAAACAGAAAGAGCATGTACAGTGTCCAAATTTCCCTCCCATGTTCCTGTTTCATTATAACTTGTTAACCACTATATTCTTTGTCAAAATATTCAAGTATGGCCTTACTGCCAGAGAACGAAGAGTTCTTGGATCAAATAGAAGCTTTTCTCCAAGGGGAAGCTTCTGACTCTCAACATGAAGTTCCCTTAGTTCTTCCAATCCTTCCAAACCTTCTATGACAGCAATGTAATTGCCTCCCAGATATCTGAAACATAGACATAATTCTAAATAGACTTTGAGAATGCCATGGTCTTTATACATGATAAAAGTGTAAGACATCATTCAACTGTGTGAAAACTATATACAGAGAATACTGTGTTTATATTGAATCTATGAAAGGTTTATCTAAATAACAATAAATTATATTCTTACACTTAAATTAGTCTAAAAATACATTTTTAGTTTTTCTAAAAGTGAGAATTGAAACAGTCCATAGTAAACTATCTACCAGGTCTTTTCATGTGTTAGGGTATAGAGAGTCACCTGGGTTGTAGGTTTAAAAATGAAGATTTTTGGGCTTAACTCCCAGAAATTCTAGCTATCTAGGTTGGAACACAGTAATCTGCATTTTTAATGAGCATTCACCACCCCACTCTTATTGACCCCATTACAAAGCCATTGGTTCCTTTTTGTGAATTTGGATCTTATAGGTAGTAAATGCCTTTTTACAATGAAATATATGTGAACATGATCAATTTTATGACCTTGACCTTTTGAGATGTGATTCTGAAAGGCACAGAACTTATCTGGGCTCCATGGAAACTTTTTTCACTAGTTAAGTCACATGAGGATGTTTTAGGTGTCCCTATAAGCTCACAATACAACTTACCCCACCAAAAAAGAAAGGTTTATCAAGCTTAGTAAAACAAAGATTGTTGAATATTACCTGTGAAACAGCTTATTTCATATGAATAATAGTATATAAGAAAATAAAAATCGAGGCCTGTTCCACAAAACATATGTGAGAATCAGATTCAATTACATATTAAATTTACTTGTGAAACTTAATGCAGAAAATGGAAATGCCTGCCTGCATAAAATATATACTGTAAGGATGACAAGCAGTTAACATTATTAAAAAAATAAAAGCACTTACAGTTTTTCCAGTTTCTTTAATGATCTGAGGTTCTCTATATATGAAATACAATTGTTTTGTAGGTATAAATGGGTCAGATTTGTGGCATAGTTCAGGTTAGTGATTTCACTAATACGATTATCATATAAATATAAAACACTAAGATTTTTGCAAAAAGAGAGGTCTTCCTAAAAGGAAAACAACAATCAGTTAATTTCCTAAAATCTTAGAATTTTGTTTTTCAGAAAGTTTTTCATATGAACATTCTATAAATTTCCCTAGGGCTAATATAAAAGAAAGAAAAATGTTTCTCTATTCTTGGCAGTCAAAATGAGACTAGAATGATTACAAAATAAGTTCTAGGATTTAACATTCTGTAATTATATCAGTAAAATTGTATTTGTTAAGATTTTTCCCAGTGCGAGCAATTTTCCTTGGAAGCAATTAGGGTCCTCTGAAGGTAGAAGCATTGAACAAATTATTTGTCCAACATTATAAAGCCAGGCTTGGGGCTGGGGTTGTGGCTCAGTGGTATAGTGATCGCCTAGCAAGTGCGGGGCCCTGGGTTCAATCCTCAGCACCACATAAAAATAAATAAATAAAGATATTGTGTCCAACTACAACTAAAAAATAAATTAAAAATAAATAAGTAAAATAAAGCCAGGCTTACTCTTTCTGTATGTTTGGAAGTAAACAGCTTATAATACTGAAAATCAGAAGTCATTCAATATTCAAGAATAATGGATTCATTAAAAATATAATAATGCTATTGTAAAACCATTAAATACTCTTATTATTTCTATAGTAATATCTTAAAGATTTAATAATACATAATTAAATGTATTTATGACCCAGTTTTGGAAAAATATATTACTACATGTCTAGAAAAAACTGGAAGGACATCACCTAAGTATTAAAAATAAATATCTCTAAATGGTAGGATTACATTCCTTCTTCTTATTTATATTTATTACAAAAACTTTTTTTTTTTCTGTGCTGGGGGATCAAATCCAGGCTTTGTGCATGCTAGGCACTCAACCACTGCACTATACTCCCAGTCCTGTTTAGTTTGTTTTGAGATAGGGTCTTACTAAGTTGCTGAGGCTGGCCTTGAACTTTTAATCTTCCTGCCTTTGCCTCCCAAGTGAATAAGATCATATATGCGTGGCACCACTTCCAGCTAAACACCAATTACTTCTGAGATAAGAAGAAAATTGAAGTTAATTTTAAAAGGCTGTTATTTCTTGGGTCTGGGGTTGTGACTCAGTACCAGAGCACTTACCTAGCACATGCAAAGCCCTGGGTTCGATCCTCAGCACCATATACAAATAAATTAAATAAAGGCTTTTTTTTTTTTTTATTAAATAGACTGTTATTTCTTGAATGGTGGCAGAATTACCCTAGAGTAATTCTCCCTACAGGAGGGAGAGGGAAATTTGGCTCAAAAAACTTGTCAGTCTTCACTAACATCACATTTTGGGAACTTTTAAGTTTATAACTTCTTCTCATTTTATAACTTCTTCTCATTTAGATTACTTTTAACTAGTTGGCTTTCCTCCTGACAAAGATCATACAAGCTGGAGAAATATGTATAGACTGTTTTGAGGATAAAAGACCTTTAATAAGGGCTCTTTGGGACTTTCTGGAGAAAGCAGTTTTGTATGGTATGATAAGGTAGAGAGCTCTGAGCAACAAAAGAGAAACAGGAGGCTTGGGGCAGCTGAATCCTTGAAGAGAAGGATCATCAGGGAACCATAAATGATAGAACATAGGAGTGGATTGTGGATCTACAAAAACAACCACAACAAAACATTTTTTTTCTTTTTCGATATTAGGCATTGAACTCAGGACCTTTCATGCTAGGCAAATGATCTACTGCTTTGCTATGCTTTCCCCACTCAATCAAAATATTTTTAACGGACAGTTTTTGCCTGAGGCTTTGGTATTTAATTTAGCCATTCATTAGACAAAGGTTTTAACATGAGTCAGGTATTATATTGGATAGGGGTTTAGAATTATGTGTGTAAAATAGACATGATCCTTGCCCTCATACAGTTTCTATGTTTCTGAGAAATTTTCTCTCATCTGTAGTCTTTAAGACAAACTAGGGTCTACAGATACCAATACAAATGATCCCAAAGAGTTATTTCAGCCTTTACAGTTTCCTAAATTAAAGCCAAGAAAGAATTACCTTAGCATGGAGAAAATGTAATTTCAGAACATATCCAAGTAAACATATTCTTGTCTGATAAAACTAAACCACTCTTGGGGCTGCAGTTGTGGCTCAGTGGTAGAGTGCTTGCCTAGCATGTGTAAGTCACTGGGTTCAATCCTCAGCACCACATAAAATAAATAAATAAAATAAAGGTATTGTGTTCATCTACAACTAAAAAATATTTTAAAAAAACTAACCTAATCTAACACACACACACACACACCCAGTTAAATTATGTGCAAAAAAATTCAGGTGAACTTTTTTTGTGGGTGGTTGTTGCGTAGGATCCAACCGAGGGTCCTGGGCATGCTAAACATACACTCTTTACCACTGAGTTATATCCCTACCCCCACAGTTGAACATAGTCACATAGTTATTTTGTAACATTTTGATATGTAAAATATTATATTCCAAGGCTCTGAAATAATACAAAAACATCTCTGAAATTATTTTCAAATCCATAGAGTACTGTAGGGGAACAGTAACAATAATATCTAACATGCAATTCATGAAAATCACAATGGTACATTTTATAGAAAATAAGTTTGATATCACAAGGAGGAAATTAAAATGAAAACACACTATAAAGCTTACTGGTAGAAATACAGTTAATAAATTTAATTAATAATAGAGTTAATATGTTAGATATGCCCTCAGACCAATTTCTAAACTTTACATTGTTAATTATATAAAAATAAGAAATAATTTCAGAGTTCTTACAATTGCATCTATATTTTTGTCTGAAAAATTTATATGAGTTAATTTCTTCAGGCATTGTGCAACGGTTTCTTCTTTTCGGGGTTTAAGATTGCTGTTTTTGGCAATTAGTTCCAAGGTCAGTCGAACCATGATTTTTCTATAAACCAAACTCTCAGCAATAGCTCTGTTTTGATATCATGTCCAGAAGCAGGTTCAGATATTGTTTATTTCCAACTTTCTAAAAATTAAAGAAAAATGGAATATTATGATATCACATAGCAATTTAGGAAAGGTTATTTTGATTTAGTCTTTTTTTTTTTTTTTTTTTGCAGTACTAAGGATTGAACCTAGGAGCACTTCAGCACTGAGCTACATTCCTAGCTCTTTTAGGTTTTTTTTTGTTGCTGTTTTTCTTTTTTGAGACAGGCTCAATATGTTGCCCAGACTGATCATAAACATGTGATCTTCCTGCCTCAGCCTCCCAAATAGCTGAGATTACAATTGTTTGCTTCTGAGTCCGGCTTCTTTAATTTTCTTATATAAAACTATTTGATGAGTTAGTCCATAGACATTTTTATGAGCATTGAGGTATTTTCTAAGAGCATAAACTTAGATTTAAGATATCAAAATTAATTAAGTGCATAGTATTCATTTGTTTTTTACTTTTAAATCTTTTCCTCTCCTTGAGTAGTATTGAATTATTATTGTGGGCATCTTTTGAAGGATAATTTATTCTCTTTTGGAGTCAAAAAGGACCTCAAGGAATATTGTCTATTGTTCTCATGTCATAGAGGAAGAAATTTATCTGCAATTACTCAATCTAGAGGCAGTTGAGAATGGCATTAGATCTTCTGGCTCCTTTTCTCATAATAATCACAGTAAATCTATTTTCAAAATTTCAAAATCAGAACACATAAATTGAAAATCTTGAGTTATATAGAGGATAATGCTACAAAACACTTAAAAATGGAGGTAGCCTAGAAATTTTGCTGTTACTACAACTATAATCCTGAAAGAGGCAGCATAATGCAGTATTTCTAATCCAGATTGGCTGGTTCAGATTTTGGCTTCACTGATCACTGGGGTTAGGCAGTCTTAGGCAGGTTATTTCAAATTTCTCATAAAATAAGGGGCTGGGTCTTGGCTCCTCAAAGCTTCCTGAGGCCCTGGGTTCCATCTCCAGCAGAGCCAAAATGAAAAAATAAGAAACAAAATAAGAAGCTTGATATTATAGCTTAGGTATATAAGAGGCTGAGGCAGGAAGATTGCTTGAGTTTAGGAGTTTGAAGCCAGACTGTTGAATATGCAAGAACCTGTCTCAAAAGAATAAGAAAAATGGTATCTACTTCTGAGATGGGAGGATCCAACTCTACCCTAAGGAATACTGGCATATACCAGATACACTGGATCTAAATGTATTAAGTTTGCTAATATTTCATTTAGGATCTATTTTACCTATGCTTCTTTAGGGAATTTGGCTATTAATTTTTTTTTAAACTTTCATGGTTGGGTTTTTGTATCAAAGCTAACTAAAATAGTTGACCTAACAGTAAGTGCTAGATTGAGTTTACTGGAGAAGACTGACTTTATATTGAATTTTACTATAGTTTCTCTAAAGGATCAAGGTTTTTATTCTCTATGGGTGAATCATACCAAGAGAAGTTCTTCATAACCAGATCATCACTTACACAAACTTTTTCAAGCCAATGGATATAACTGCCATTTCTTATATTTCACCCAGTTTTGCTATTTTTGTTTTTATAAGTAATTTTTAGAACAAACACATTTCTATCTGATACTAATCTTCCTTTCATTGATTATATCTGTTGCAAGTATCTTTTTCCAGACCATGGCTAGTCTATTTGCTCCATCACTCTCTTTTTCTTTGAATTCTTTTTTTAATGGTATTTTCGAAAAACTAGAAACTTTTTTCTGTTTTTGAACATTAGCCAAGTGCATCATTTTCCTTTTGGCTCATGTTTTGTGCTTTTTGTGTTTTACTTAGTAACTCCTTCCTTGATTTTAAAAGAATGACATAGCCGTGCACAATGGTGCAAGGCCTCTAATTCCAGAGACTCAGGAGACTAAGGCAAGGAGGATCAAAAGTTGAAAGTCTGCCTCAGCTACAAAGCAAAGTTCTGAGCAACATAGTGAGATCCTGTCTTCAAATAAAAAATAAAAAGGGTTAGGGATGTGGCTCCATGATTAAGCATCCCTGGGTTAATCCCCGGTACCAAAAAAAAAAAAAAGAAAGTCATCATACTATAGTGATATATATATATATATATATATATATATATATATATATATATATATATATATATATATCTCCATGTTTTTAGCAGCACAGTTCACAATACCCAAACTATGGAACCAGCCTAAATTTCCATCAACAGATGAATGGATAAAGAAAATGGAAGATATATAAAACACACACACACACAATGGAGTTTTATTCAGCCATTAAGAAAAATGAGCCAGGCATGGTGGTGCACACCTGTAATCCCAACATTTTGGGAGGCTGACAGAAGATAGCAGGTTCAAAGCCAGCCTCAGAAACAGCGAGGCGCTACGCAACTCAGTGAGACCCTGTCTTTAAAGAAAATACAAAATAGGGCTGGGGATGTGGCTCAGTAGTTGAGTGTCCCTGAGTTCAATCCCCAGCATACACCTCCCCCTGCAAAAAAAAAAAGAAAATGAAATTATGTTACTGCAGGAAAATGGATAGAACTTGAGGCCATTATGGTAAGCAAAATAAGCTATAAACTCAGAAGATCAAGAGTGAGAGTGTTTTCTCTCACATGTGGAAGCTACAGAGGAAAAAGGAAAAGAAAGGTGGGGGGTGCATAGGCAGGGATCTCATGAAAATCAAAAGGAAATCAGTAGAGGAAACAGAATGGGGGTGAGAGGTGCAGATGGAAGTACTGGAGGGTGATATTGACCAAATTATATTGTTATGTTGTGTGCATGTACAAATGTGAAACAAATAACCTGTCTTTACATACAACTGTAATGCACCAATAAAAAAATGTGGAAAGAAAAAAAGGAAGTATTTACAACTTTTACCACTAAGTATACTATGTTTGCTGTGAGGTGTTTTTTTAGTAGCCAGCCATTCTCAGGTTAAGAAATTTCTTTTCTACTCACAGTTTATAATCATTTCTTTTAAAATCACTATTTGGGAGCTGGGGGTTTACCTCAGTGGTAGAGTACCTATTTAGTATGTGTGTGCAGCTCTGGGTTCAATCCCAAGCACCAATAAAGAAAAAACAAAAAATTCTTGAACAGATGTTGACTGTTGTGTGTGTGTGTGTGTGTGTGTATGCACATGTATTAGAATATGTGATGAAATACATTAATAGACTTTTTAATGTTAAAATGTTTTACATTCCAGGGATAGACCACACAGAATAGCATATACTAGATACACTGAATCTAAATGAATTGAGTTTTCTAATATTTTATTTAGGATCTATTTTACCTATGTTTCTTTAGGGAACTTGGCCGGTAAATTTTTTTTCTTATATTTTCATGGCTGGGTTTCGAATCAAAGCTAACTAAAATCAGTGGGTGAACATTCCTACTTTTTCTTCCTTGACTATAGGAAAATCTCCTGTAAAACCAATTGGGCCTGGTGAATTCTCATTTGGAGAGCAATGGTCTTGGGGAGATTAATGTTTAACTACTGTTTTGATTTCTTTAATGAATATAGGTCTCTTCAGGTTTTCTGTTTTTTTCTGGAATCCATTTTGGTAAATTTTTTATATTTTATAAGCAAATTAACCTTTCTCCTATATTTTAAATTTGTTGTCAGAAAGTTCTATTTTAGTATTCTAGTCTTTGCTACTGCTTTGATAGTTCCCTTTCTCATTCCTAATTTGATTTTTCTCCATTTTCCCCGATTAGTCTTTCCAGTTTTTTAAAAATATTTTTTCAGTTTCAGATGGGCACAATACCTTTATTTTGTTTATTTTTATATGGTCCAGGGATTGAACCCAGTGTCTCACGCATGGTAGGCAAGCACTCTACCACTGAGCTACGATCCTGGCCCAGTCTTTCCAGGTTGTCCACTTTGTGAGCACATTCAAAGGAGATCAATTTTAGCTTTGTTGATCACCTCTATTTGTATCTCTGCTTCAATTTTATTACTTTGTTTTTCTGTTTTTGAATTTTCTTTCCTCATACTTTCAGGTTTATTTTGTTTTTCCAAGGTCTAAATGTAGATGCTTGCTTTAATTTTCAGTCTATCTTTTAATATAAATATACATAAATATATTTAAAATTAGAATTTTCTACCCTTAGCTGATTCCACAATATTTGATTTTTCATATAGATGTTTTCAATTTGTAATATCCTTTTATGATTTTGTTGGCCCATACTTATAAAAGGCTTAAATCTTAGAACTTTTTTTTTTAATGGAAATTTCAACTGTCCTTTTTACACTAGTAACTGAGGTAAAATGCATCTTATTTATTTATGTATTTATTTATTTATTTTTGTAGTAGGGATTAAACCCAGGGACACTCTACTACTGAGCTACATCTCCTTTTTATTTTTATTTTGAGACACAGTCTTGCTCAAGTTACTGAGGATCCCAGGTTACTGGCCTGGAACTTGTGATCCTCCTGTTTCAGCCTCCTGAGTGACTGGGATTTCAGGTGAGCCCAGTGAAAATGCACATTTAAAAGAGGTTATCCATCCTAGGGCCTCCCCCTGATAACTGAAGGAGACTGCTATACAGGTGTCACAGCAACCCTGTGATATGAAAGAAGTGATCCCTGTGGGGATAACTTTGTTCAAAGGGAGACAGAAGTCACAACTGATTCATTCTCCATTCCCTCATAGACTTTTGTGAGAGGCATTCATTTCAGAAGATCCCGTTGAAAAACGTGATAGACTTCTGAGTCACACTTTCTTATATTCACTCTTTTTCCATCTCTGTCCAGTTCATTTTTTTTTTTTCCTTCACTGTACTTCCCTGGGATTGCAACCCAAGAAAAGTGCTATCACAAGTTTTCACTTAAGGCTGTTTTCTAACCTGGGCTAAAATAAATTTGGATCTAAATCCTCATAAATGCCTATCCTCATGCAAGACAGGCAAACTTTTATCTATATCCTCTTGGAATATTTTTTTTCTGGTTGGACTTGAGAACTAAATTGACATAAGACATAGAAAAATTTTTATAAGAAGTAAACCTTTCTGCCTATATTTTAAATTTGTTGTCAGAAAAGTATATAAATTTAATATAAGTTTTAAGTGGAATGGGAATCTTTATGGAAATGAAGACTCAAAGACATAGAGCTGAACACTCATATACTGAATTAGAGTAGGAAATTGTGAAAAATGTGAGAAGGCAAAGGGGATTTGGCTAAGGTAGCTGACTGATGAAGTGGAGGCTAGGAAATTAAGGGTTAGTCTAAAAGTTTGTATGGATTTTCCTGGACCTCAACTTCCCATCCTTGATGGTAAGAATGATAATTTTCTAGGATAGGGAAGGACTTTTTCAAATGGAAATTGCATTTCTTGCTTTTAAGAAACAAAACAAAATATTTTTTCAGTTTTAGATGGGCACAATACCTTTATTTTGTTTATTTTTATATGGTCCAGGGATTGAACCCAGTGTCTCACGCATGGTAGGCAAGCACAAAAGTGGGTAATGTTGCACCTGTTGTTCCTTAAGGCCTTTAACTCAAAATAGTCAATATGCCAGAGCAGCATATTTTAGGTTGGCCTAATCTTAACTCTGTCACTATAGAGGAATTCTGTCTCTATATTGGTGTTTGTGTGGAAGAAAAGTTTTAAGTATTTCAGATAATTAAAAGTGGAAAGAGGCAAACTTAAATTAAGTATTTATTAAATCAAAGGAAAACCAATAGACCCAATATTAAACTTGTTAAAACAACAACAAAAAGACACAGCCAAACAAATTTCCAGGAGTTGAATGTGAAAGTGAGAGAACTAAATACTCAAGAATAGGAGACTTTTAACTCAAAAGAACCTGCATTGTAGCAGTGCACAAAACACCTTCATTCATTATGTTAAAATAAAACTTTAAACTTTATTGGTACTGTAGTTTCCTTATTTAGAGAAATCATAAACTATCAGCAGTTTCAACTGACTCCAATAGTGTGGATTTGGATACATTTTAGGACATAATAATAAAAACAATTCCATCAACACTTTTGAGGTTTCCTTGCTTTTCTTTTAAATGAGATTCATTGTTTTCTAAAGTTTGAGAAACGTCTTTTCTGTATTTCCTCCCACTAGACATGTCATCTCGGGCTCCGCTGGTTAGGATCTCTCTCCAGGTTCCAGCGGGAACAGCTTACAGTTACCTACAGGCGCTCTGGGAGTCACTAAAGGGACCCCTAGACTTTCATCCCCCGGGACTTCCACAGGCACGAGGAGATGGGCTGTTTCCCGATTTAGTTTCCCCCTACATTCCCACTTAGCGGGTCCCAGGCTCGGTGGCCTCAGCCCTCGAGCTTCCAAAACCCTTAGGAACTCAGGCGCGCCCCAGACACCGCTCGCTCAGCCCGGCGGCCCCCGCTTCCAGCGTTTCCTTCCCCGGGAGCCGTTTCCCATTCTTCCCTGATCCCAGGCATTCGTTAAAATACAGACTTTCCGTTTTTCTGGAAATTCTAGAGACAGGGCTCAGGGACCTGCATTCTAACAATCGTCCTAGAGAGTCTTACTGGCAGGCAAGGTTGTGAAACGTGGCTCTAGGGTTTCCCCCGTCTCCACGCTTCTTCCCGGAGGTCACCTCACCGCTCGCTAGACGAGTCTAGTCAGTACCTCTGGTTTGGTAAGTTTCGCGGGCCTCCGGTTCCTCGGCAGCCTCGGCGCAGTTGCCGGGCGACCCGACGCTCCCGTTCAGCCCGCTGCTCGAGGGAAGTATCGCGAGGTTGCGGGAAGGGTCCCCTGTGGCCTGGCGCAGGTGCTGTTGATTGTGACGTGGGGCCCATGGTTGATATTGCCCACTGGACAGTCTCCGGATGGAGATCAGTTGATTGAACTGGCCATGAGGCATCGGTTTTATCCGCAGCAGACGGGACAATTTTTGTTAGGTCACCATTTCCCACTGGACCATCAGATTTGACTGTTGTGCACAATAACCCTCTTGTCCCAGTAACAGATCAGAAAAGGAATTATCTGCATCAAGCCAATACTTCACCCTTTCTCGGATAAAACCCAAACTCAGGGTGACATTCATGAGTATTCATCATGTCTCCCCTCATAGTTTGCCACTTGACTCCTACTCTCCAGAATTCTCCAATGTTCACTGTTCTAAAAAGATTTTCCCTCCCTAATCCTACCCGCAGAGTAGCACTAGAAGATACTTTATTCTCTCTTTCATTATTTTTACCTTTTAAGAGGATGGAGTATAAGTGTATCTTTTCTGAAGAATTCCTGCAGACTCCATCTTTGTTAAGTGATGTTATTTTCTGCCCCCAGCATAGCTGGGATGTATTCAGTCTTTAGAATAGCACTTACCACTTCACTATATGTTGTTACTTATCCAGACTCCAATAAGGTGATACATTATTTGAGGACAAGGATTATATCTTTTACCTTGCTATTCCCAGGAACCAGGAAAGTGCCTTGTATATTGAGAAGTCACTTCATAAATGTTTGTAAAATGAATAATTTATAAATGAAAGAAAGGAAGAATAGCAGTACAAAGAACAGATATTTACAGTGGAAAAAGACAGGCTTAATGGAGATACAGTGAAACAATCTGGATGTAAAGGACACAGCATACCTGAGAGTACCCGCTGTGTTCTGAGAGTACAAGGTTGTCATTGACATTCCTTGAGCAAAGAAGTGTCAAGTGTGGATCTGTTAAAGTTGCAAGGCAGCTTAGAGCCCATAAAGGCAGTCCAATTGCCATCTTGCAGATAAGGAAACTAATGGGCTTAGAAAGAGGAAAGAAATGTGCTTAAGGTCATACTTGGGGTGGCAGAGAGGAAACTTATTCTTGGGCTCCTGATTTCAAATCCTGTTCTCTTTTCATTATATGTCACTGATCTTTACAATAGGAATAGCCTAAGAAGGGGTTGGGGATCAGGGCAACGAAACCCAAACTTCATTCCATACATTGTTGGTAAAGTCCATTTGTGAGGTAATCTTGGCCCAAATGGAATGAAGACAAATATAAGTAGAAAATAATGAACAAATTTAGGAGATTTCTTGAAATATGATTTAATAGCAATTGGATAAAAAGAGAGAAGAATAAAATTCCCAGGTGTTATGTAGGATGAAGGATTAATACTGGAGAAAGAGGAGAGGTTGCAATAAATTTGAGGGGAAATGGATAAGTTTGGTTTATATACCTTGAATGTGAGATGACAGAGGTATTTATAGTCTCCAGTAAAAAACTAATTATTGAAACCATGAAGCCATAAGTGGTAGTGAGGGAGAAAGTAAGGAAAGAGAAATAGTGGGTCAATAGCTAAGCCAACTAGTTGGGATGGAAGAGGGAAGAAAAGCTGGTAAAGATGGCAAAGAAAGATTTATCAGTAGTAATATTTGTTCTTAGAACAAATAATAGTAATTCAAAATCTGGTAATTCAGATCCAGATACAGGGCAAAGAGTTCAAAGAGTATATTCAGGGGGTTACTAACAATAAAAAGCTACAGAAGGATGAAAAGTAAGAGTGATCAGAATAATATGGTTAAAACACTAGGATATAAATCAGAAATTCCTCCTATCTATTTTGTAGGCCATTCCTGGTGTAACACTTTTAATAATGCATGCAGGCTGGCCCATTGCTCTTAAATGAGTAATTAGCTGCTAACATTACATTGATAGAAACCTTGAATATCAGTTTCTCCCATTGTACTGAGAGAATATTTTCCTCCCCTTTTTCCACAGGTGTGCATGATAGTTGTCTATAATGATAGGATTTGTTGTTACATATTTGTACATGCACACAATATAACAATATAATTTGGCCAATATCACTTCCCAGCACTTCCCCTCTCCCACCCCTTAGTCCCTTTCCTCAACTGATCTCTGTTTTTCATGAAATTCACCCTCACCTTTCTTTCCCCTTTTCTCTTTAGCTTCTGTATGTCAGATAAAACATATGACCCTTGACCTTATGATTGTGACTTATTTCACTTATATAATGCTCTCTAGTTTCATTCATTTTCCTGAAAATGACATAATTTCATTTTTTTGTGGCTGGAGAAAATACTTTCTCTTAAACTTTGCTTGTTGCATTAAAAATTTTAATTAGTATTTCAAACCATTTTAAACATCAGCAGTCACAAAGTGATTTTTAGTTCCATGAAGAGCAGGATCTGAAAATCTTTTTGGAAAATTTTCATATGCCATTATAAAAAAGGAGTATGATCTCATATGTGGTAAAATTGTAAACACTAACATTTTTATTTTTACTAGTATTTTTTAGAGATTGTGTCTAACTATGTTGTTCTGGCTAATCTCAAACTTGTGGGCTCAAATGATCCTTTTGCCTGTGCCTCCTGAGTAGCTAGGACTACAGGTATGCACCGCCACTCCCAGTTATATATACTTTCTTTTAAAAAAATATATATTTTTAGTTGTAAATGAACACACAGTATCTTTATTTATTTTTTATGTGGTGCTGAGGATCGAATCCAGTGCCTCACATGAGCGAGGCAAATGCTTTACCACTGAGCTACAGTCCCAGCCCAATATACTTTCAAATGTCTAAAAGAAGAGATAGATAAATAGATAATAGATTTACATATAGATATGTAGATATACACCCAAATATTTACAAGTGGTTATTTCCTGGTGGTGGGATTAGGAATTTTTTTTCTTTTTGTTTTTGCAATTAGGCTTTTAAAAAATGATAAAATTACATTTTCAAAGTTCATTTTGAATCCTGTACTTCATGGAGTTAAAAATCACTGTGATTGCTGGTGTTTAAAATGGTTTGAATTACTAATTAATTTTTTAATGCAACAAGAGAAAGTATTCTGTCATAAGATGTGAAATATAATTCCTGTCTAGTGGCACACTGTGTTCAAGAATCATCTGTATATTTTCCAATGTGGCAGAAATTTGGCAGACTACAAGAAATACTTGTGTTCATTGCCACATTTGTAAGTTCAGTGTAAAATACCCTTAAGATTTATACTTTGACAGATGTTGGGAAATTTATATTTGCAAAAAACCATTGTGAAGTCTTGAGAATCATTTTAAAATACACTTTTGAAAGAATGATGGTTAAAAAAGCACATTTTGAAAGCCTCAACTAGAGTTTCCAAGTAACTTTAGACAAAAATATACTTTACATTTCATGTTGTTCCATATTTGTTAGTCACTGTATATTTCCTGAGTATAATACTGCATAGTACTACATAAAGTACCAAGCAAACACTTTAATGATATGTTACCTTTCATTGAGAAATCAAGAAATTAAAGGGTTCAGTCATGTATATCATCACATAACTCCACACAGAAAAATTAACATTTATTTGGTATCTAAGCCCTTGTATGGTCCTTTCTGCCACAGTGTGGAACAAATGATTTGTTCTGGCCAATAAAATGAATAAAATAAAATTTATGGGATGTCATTTCCATGATTAGGTCATAACAGCAGACTCAGTTGCTTTGATTAGGCAAGCAGTAATTGAGAATGTCCGTGTGGCAAGGATCTGAGGGTACTCTCCAGCCAATAGTTAGTGAGAAATGGAGGCATTAGTTCATTAAGAAACTAAATACCAAAAATCCCTGTTAGAGCTGGAAGGTTGGTTCTTCTACCAATTGTTTTCAGATGATGCCTCATCTCTAGCCAATGCTTGATTGTAGCCTTGTTAGAGACCCTGAAGATGAGGATCCAGATACCTGGCCCATAATATTCTGCAATAATAAATGTGTGTTGTTTTAATCCACTAAGTTTTGGGGTGCTTGTTACACAGCAATACTGGAAGATGGACAATTCCCTTAAGGAGAGAAGATTTATTATTCAGAAATTTGGGTCATAATTTCCATTTTCATAGAAAAATCTGAATGGAAGCTCAAAGGAGAGAAACTAAAGTGACTATAGGAAGGGGAACAAAAGGTTTCTTTGTGAACATATATCTGTATGTAGAAACTGGAAGCTGTAGAAACAATATAAATTCCTTTTACTTCTGGGTGGGTCAGTTTCCACTCCTTATTTCTGTAACCTGTATATGATCATGTTTTTGAGAGTTTCTCTAGAAGCTATTAGGAGCCTTCTAATGCCATGATGCACAAAATATGAGCCCCAATAATGTGATTAAAAACTTAGTAACTGATTTGTCATTTATTATATAACATCCTATAAATATAAATCATTGCTCTATAGGTTATATGTAAAGCAATCTATAGTATTTCTTTGATTTTTGGACCTAAACATCAAACAGGCTTCTAGTCATTCAATCCACCTGAATATGAATATCCTAGAGGCATTGAAAACTCAAAACTGATATCATTTCTATCCTGCACAAATCTAATAGGCTTCTTCTAGTTTGGCTTGTCCACAGTCCATCCTACTACACAAAGTAGAATCAGAAAAGCTGGCTGCCATCGTATATGCCTCTAATCCCAGCAGAGGCAGGAAGATTCTAAGTTTGAGGCCAGCCTCAGCAACTTAGTGAGGCCCCAAGCAACTTGGTGAGACCCTGTATCAAAATATAAAATAAAAAGAGCTGAGGCTCAGTGGTTAAGTGCCCCCCTGGGTTCAATCTTTGGTACTCCCCCCCACACCCTGGCAAAACAAGGGACTGTGGTTGTAGCTCAGTGGCAGAGCACTTGCCTAGCATGTGTGGGGCACTGGGTTCAATCCTCAGCACTGCATAAAAATAAATAAAATAAAGGTATGTGTCCATCTACAGCTTAAAAAAAAAAAAACCCAAACAACAAAGTACAGTCAGAGAGCCACCTCCAACACTGTCTCACATACTAGCATTCCCACATTCAGTCACC